GTCCCTAAACTACTGGTGGGCATATATTTTATATTGAGATTTTTAAAATGATCTCAACCACAAAGTTTAACCATTAAAAAACAAAAGTGGATCTATGTTAAAGCTTTGTCTTAACTTACTTAACTCTAAGTTACAGCTTTGGCTAGCATTTTCACAACTTCCCACACCTTCCTAAAGTTCTGACAAAAGACTTTTGTTCTAGGTGCATTTTTTAAAGAGGGGCTTCCTAGAGCATGCATGTGGCCTTTCATGGGTCAGGGGTCACCCAACTCAGGAGTAGCTGAGAAAGCAGAATCAAAAATGACCTTCAACTTAATACCCTGTTGATGATCTTATTGAATTTTAACTGAGTGGTATAGATGATGGTGGTACTATAACTCTAAAAAAAAAAAAAGGAAATTATTGTTATCTATTATTATTGTGTTGTTATTTTTGGTCTAAGATGTAAAGACAATGTATTCCACATTTTCCCTCACAACTCCTCTCCCCCACTTTTATTCTTTTCTTTAAGGAAAAAAAAAAAAGTCAAAACTGTATGTTACTGGGGCCAAGAGTTTGTGCTTGGCCTCTCCCGTCACACGAATGCATACTTACAAGACAGTGGGTGGAAACACAATGTGTTTACTCTTCTGTGTGCACATCATGTTACAGAGGCCCGCAGACCAAAAGCAGTTGCTCGACGCTGGGATGCTTATGGAATTTGCTTCCCCCATGTCCTATTTTTATTTTTGTAAGCACACCACAAAGTTTTGATCAAGCCTCGATTCTGTCCACTTGCTGGGGGGGGGAGGGGGAAGCAAAAAACGCATCCTTGCTCGGAGACCAGGGGTAGATATCCTCTGTAACCACAAGCTCAGGTTTTGCCCTGTTTAGACAGTTTGGAGGAACTTACAAAGAAAGAACATGCTTGCTACCGGCTTGGGGAGCTGGACATCACGGTAGACCAGCCCTTCTAAAAACCTGTTGAAAAAAAATGAATTCACTCCTGGTATCTTCCTTTTCCTTTCTTCCTTCTTTCCTTCCTTCCTTCCCTCCTTAACCCCCCTCCCTACCTCCTCCCCTTTCCTCTTCTCCCTCCCTCTAAGGAACACCCTTTACTTCTGAAGCAACAATCCAGAAAGCCTTTGCACACGTGCGCAGCACATACACACACTCACTCACACAAGCACTCTCACACACTCACACACTCACTCACACTCACTCGCACACTCACTCACACTCACTCACACTCACACACTCACTCACACAGTCACTCACACAGTCACTCACACTCACTCGCACACGCACACACTCACACACACAGTCACACACACACTCACACAGTCACACACACACAGTCACACACACACTCACACAGTCACACACACACACTCACACACACACTCTCACTCACACACTCACACACACACACACTCACACACACACCCTTGTTCTTCTTTCCTTCTCACTCTTCCCTTCCTTCAAAAAAAAAAAAAAAAGCCAAGGAGGAAAAGGTTTTTTTTTTTTTTTTTCGGTTTGCAGAGAAATAAAACACTTCTGAGAGGGAATGGAGACGTGACTTTGAACTTGGCTCAGCTCCTCTGTTTCCTGCCGTGAAAGGAGGCCTGGAGCTGGGAAAGAATGGCCAGGAGGGCCCAGCCCGCGAGCTCTCCGGCGGGAATTAAGGCGTCTGCCCTACGGCTCGGCCCTGGAATCCGGCGCGAGCAAGCGCCCAGCCGCGCCATCCTGAAACGCGGGCGCAGCAAAGGAGAAATCAAAGCGAAAGGAGAGAATAGGTCAAAAAAGGAGAGGGAGGGAAGAGTGGGGAGCGGTGAGAAAGTGGGAGAGGAGGGGAACCTGCAGCTGAGGGGGGCTTGAAAGAAGGAAATGCCTTTGGATAAGTAAGGCTGTTATTCTCACGGCCAACCTTGGTTAAAAAAAAAAAGAAAAGAAAAAAATTGGCAGGTTTTTTTTTTTTTTTTTGAGCAAACCGTTATATGCACTTTTCAGATACACTGATAAATAAGGTAAGGAAACGTGAAAGGCTGAACCATTTTTAAATAAATGGATTGAATCCTTTCTGCTTAGACGTCGTCTCTCTTCCCCTTTCCTGACCACCCTCCTCCCCCGCCCCCTGCAGTCTGGCAGGCCAGTTTGGCATCTGCACTTTGAGTGAAGAGCTGGTGGTGGTGGGAATGTGTGGAAAGACAACTACTTCCCCCTCCAGCTTCCAGGAACGCTCAAGGGTTCAGACAAGATACCTTCTTCTGGTCGTCCTTCCCCTCCCCCTCGGCAGGGAAGCGGGAACCCAGAGGGAGCGAAGGGAGTCTTTATGGAAGGGGCTGCGGCCAGCTCCAGCAGTCGAGCCAGACCCCCTTAAGGTATGAGAATCTGCTTGAGCAGGCAGGAGATCCCAATGCGTTGCAACACTCCTGGGTAAGAGTATTCTTCCGGCGTTTTTGGTGATTTCATTTCAGTGTGAAATTTCTCTTGCCCGAATATTATCTCAGTTCCCAGAGATTTACAAATAAAAGCAGTCCTCAGGCCTGCCAAAGGCGAAGAAAGACTTTGGCCACAGGCTGTCCTTACACTTCCCCAGACTCTGGGCCCAGGATTCCCTCTCCGGTTACCACTTGAGCTCGATCTGAGGGGCTGTTCGATGTCCTTTAATGATCAGCCAGCCAGCCTGGGGTCGAAGATGGCGCTTGCGTGAAGCTTTGCGGTGTGTTACACACCAAAGAATGAGTGACACTGTAAAGAAGGTTTAAGTCCCACAGTTTATTTTTTTCCGAGGCCCTGGACCTGACATATCAACAGTCAAATTAAGGCCTAAATCTTGCTTGGTTCTGGGCATCCCACTTCTAGCTCAAGGTGGCCGTGCACCGGGTCAGTGGGCATCCACCCTGAGGGTGACACTGTCTTTAAACGACTTCCAAACAACCCCCTACCCCTGCCTCTCAGGGGGCTGAAGCCTAGGGTTCACTTCTGTAATCTGAGTTGAAAGCGAGAGTCGCGGTTGGGGGTTGGGGGAGCTAAGTATGCCCAAGGGGAGATAGGACCGCTGCCGAGTGTAGGAGTGATGTTTAGGTGAGTGTTCAGGGAGTTGAAAGGTGGGGTGAGGCTCACTTTATCTGTGTCCACCGTCCTTCACTCGCGTTTCAACGCCTCAAAGCAAATTGATCAAGGAAAGGACGGGACGGGGAATGTAGTTTGCCGATGGGGCAAGAGGCCTGACCCTGTCCGTGTCCCTAAAAGTCTCCTCGCTCCTCCAGGGATCCCGGCTTGGTGACTTGGTTGTTAGTCACGCCTCTGTAGCCAAGGGTATTTTGGGCCAGGGTTCCTGGGTATTTCTGTGTAGTTAGGGGGGTGGATGTGATCCCCGGGGAGTTGGTGGCCTCGGATAAAGTTTGCGGGTGCAGAGTGCAACCCCACTCCAGGCTAGAATCCGGTGGAAGGTTACACCATCATTAGGCCTGGGACCCCATTACGCTAGCAGCTGGGCTCCTGTATTAGCTGGCTGGGACCGGGAGCCACCGTGCCATACGCACGGACGAAGCTCGGCTGCCTACTAGGCCCAGTCCGAGGGTGCGTTCGGTCACTGCTGCGGCTGCACAGACCCAGCCAGGCGCGGGGAAAGTGGGGAGGGCTGGGAGCAGGGCGGGGGCGCAGGATTGACGAGGCCACCGTGGCCAATAGCCGTTCCAGGAGGGCGGTATGGGCGGGAGCCGCCGTTAAAGGGGCGGTGTGACCAGGAGGCCCGGCCTGGATCTGGAGAGAGGAATACCCGGGCGGGTGACTAGGGTACGCGGGGGAGGGGAGAGGAAAGGGAGGGAACAAAAAAATAAATAAATAAATAAAATAAAAGGCTGCTTCTGCGGTCTCAGCGCCCACCGAAATAAACAGAGGCGGTGGCGAACGCTGTCCACCGCAGCCGCGAGGAAGGAACTCGCGTTGGCCTCCTGGCATTTGCTCGTGCCGAGGACAACCCTCTGTCCTTGTTGGTGCGAGCTCTAGGTACCGGACTAGCGCCCTGGGCGGATCGGCTGGAAGAAGGAGAACCAGAGATCACTTTTTTATTGTTGTTATTGTTTTTCAGCCAGCCTCACCCTGCTCCCCTCCCCCTACTCGCCTTCTCCCCTCCCACAGTCCCCCTCCCCTGCTCTTCCCCCGCCTCCTCCTCCGGCCCAACTTAAAGAAAGAGGGAGCGACGCGCCCGTTTCCTTCATCTGGGGGAATTCGTGGCCGCTGCAAGTTTACTACTCTGGCGCCGCCAATGCCAAGCTCGGAGGACCAGGAGGGCTAAACCCCGCAGCCTCGGAGCCGAACAATACCCGCAGAGCGCTGGGCGGCGCGAGCAAGGCCTCAGGGGAGGGAGCGGCCACCCGAGAGCGCCGCAGACTGGGCGCTCGGCCTCCTCCTCCGGCTGCCCAGCGCCCCCGCCGAGATCAGGTGGAGCCGCGGGTGCGCTAAGCTCTGGGGCTGGCGGATCGCCGCAGCCCTCTCGCTGCCTGCCTGCCGGCGCACAGCCGCTGCCCCAGGGCACCGTGGCCCCACGGCTGTGGTGACTTCATTCGGCGGACGCCGCTGATCGCAGCTAGGCTCCCGGTCCGCCAGCAGTGAAAAGCAGCCAGCGAGTGAGTGCGTGCGTGCGCGCGCGGGGGCGCGCAGGGGTGGGGGCCGCGGCGCAGCGCTCGCCCTCCGGCGGCCCCCCTCTCCTCCGCTCCCCACACCTCCCTCCGCTCCCTCCTCCCGCCCGCCCTCCCCTGCCCTGCCCGCCCGCCCCCGCCGCAGCTCCTTTAATACACTTTGGTTCTCCTCCTGGCTTTGGACTCTTCTCCTCCTCCACCTCCTCCTCCCGCGCCTCCTCCGCCGCCGCCTCCTCTTCCTCTCCGCGCCTTCGCTCGGCGCCCGGCGGCCCGAGGCAGATCCAGGCGGCGGCGGCGGCGGGCTAGCAGCGCGCCTCCCAAGGCTGCAGTAGCCAGTGTTTCCAGCGCCGGCTCACGGAGCCGGGCGTTCGCCTTGCCGATCGGGAGAGGGAACCGAGGCGGCGGGGCTCACCCGGGCCGACAGGTCGGCCGGGCGCGCTGGCCATGCTTCTAGACGCGGGGCCGCAGTTCCCGGCCATCGGGGTGGGCAGCTTCGCGCGCCACCACCATCATTCGGCAGCGGCTGCAGCGGCTGCGGCCGCCGAGATGCAGGACCGGGAGCTGAGCCTGGCGGCGGCTCAGAACGGCTTCGTGGACTCGGCCGCAGCGCACATGGGCGCCTTCAAGCTCAACCCCGGGGCGCACGAACTGTCTCCTGGTCAGAGTTCGGCGTTCACGTCGCAAGGACCGGGTGCTTACCCGGGCTCGGCTGCGGCTGCCGCTGCTGCCGCGGCACTAGGGCCCCACGCCGCGCACGTTGGCTCCTACTCCGGCCCTCCCTTTAATTCCACCCGGGACTTCCTGTTCCGCAGCCGCGGCTTCGGGGACTCGGCGCCGGGAGGCGGCCAGCATGGGCTCTTTGGACCGGGCGCGGGCGGCCTGCACCACGCGCACTCGGACGCGCAGGGCCACCTCCTCTTCCCGGGCCTCCCGGAGCAGCACGGGCCGCACGGCTCTCAGAACGTGCTCAACGGGCAAATGCGCCTGGGGCTGCCGGGAGAAGTTTTCGGACGCTCGGAGCAGTACCGCCAAGTGGCCAGCCCGCGGACCGACCCCTATTCGGCGGCTCAGCTTCACAACCAGTACGGCCCGATGAATATGAACATGGGGATGAACATGGCAGCGGCCGCAGCCCACCACCACCACCATCACCACCACCCTGGTGCCTTTTTCCGCTACATGCGACAGCAGTGCATCAAGCAGGAGCTCATCTGCAAGTGGATTGACCCCGAGCAGCTAAGCAACCCCAAGAAAAGCTGCAACAAAACTTTCAGCACCATGCACGAGCTGGTGACCCACGTCTCCGTGGAGCACGTCGGCGGCCCAGAGCAGAGCAACCACGTCTGCTTCTGGGAGGAATGTCCACGCGAGGGCAAGCCCTTCAAGGCCAAATACAAACTGGTCAACCACATCCGTGTGCACACCGGAGAGAAACCCTTTCCCTGTCCTTTTCCGGGCTGCGGCAAGGTCTTCGCGCGCTCCGAGAACCTCAAGATCCACAAAAGAACCCACACAGGTAATCGTGGGTCTGGAGTGGGAAGAGGCACCTTAAAAAGAAAACTCAGGCCGAGCGTGTGCGTGTGTGTGTGTGGTGTGTTGTGTTCTCGCGCGTTGGGGGCTAACCACCAGCCAGAGACTTGGGAGAGTGCAGGACAGCCAGCGGCTTGTTTTTGTTGGAGGACAGTAGAGTATTATTAGGCTGGGATTTTTCCACGTGCGGAAATTGAACTTTTAATCGTCAGTGAAGTACCAAATATATGCTGGGAGTGAAGCGACCTTCTCTCCCCCACCCCATTATCATGGTGAATAATTTCCATTATAAACAGCGCACAAATAATAGAACAGTGTTGCTGTAACTAGTCAGGGAAGCAAGCCTAGCAAGGGTTTTGCCAGCTTGTCTGGATGAGCTTTTCCGCCCCGAGTAGATAGATCCTCTGTTTTTCAGAGGCTTGTGTGCTTTCTCATTTCTTTTACCCAGGGTCCAAACGCCCTTCTCGGGACTGTTTCCCATTAAATGAATCTGGTGTGAGCCGAAGCTGTAAAGCGGTTCTCATTTAAAAAGTGTTTTTAAAGCCCAACTCGGAGTGGGTCGCAGGGGACTGACGGTGGTTTGTCAGCGGTCTGTGAAATTCTTCTCTAATGGGCACCGGAGGGTTTGTGGATTCCCAACTTCGACCCTCACCCGGCCGGCAAGAGCCCCAGGCAGTACCGCCCCGCAGGGCGATCGCGAGAGAAAGAGAGGCGCAAAAGAACGCGCCTCTCGCCTCATAGATTATTCATCTAGGACCCGGTCTCAGCCAAAATCGCAAAAGACAATTTCCTAAAAAGAAAGCCAAATGTTTTAGCAACTTCCCTCGTCAATATTTACTCCAAAGTGGGGATGAGCCAGCGGCCTATTGTTCTCTTTTGGGAAGGGAGGGAGTCGAGGTGCGAGACAGCTTTTAACAAGGTTTAAAATTTGAGAAATTTATTTGCATGAAATGCCCTGTGTCTGAGCGGTTGTCTTTAAAAAACAGTTTAGGTGCTAATGGAATTTAACGTTAACTGGTCCCCTTTCCAAGTGGAACGACGTTTGAGTTCTCACACCTCTAAATGACTCCAAGCATTTGGGATCCTGTCAACAGGGTGCAGGAACCGCCAGAAAATTAAACATGGAGATTTTGAAAGGTTTTTCCTTTCCTGACTCCAACCTCCAACTTCTCAACTTGTGCTGAGAGCTATAATCATTAAAAGGCTACCTCATCACTAATGTTTAACCTCCTCTCCCCATTTAAAAAAAAAAAGCGTTTATATTAGGATTATAGTTAACTCGATTTGCAGAATTTTTTTTTGGATGAAAAATACTGGCTCAATCTCTGCATAGCCCATTCTCCAAACAACTCACAGCATCTCCAAATGTGATTGCCTACTGGCCCCAAAGAGAAAGCGACAGCAGCCCAGCCGCCTGTGTGATTTTGATAATGCCCCAAATATTTTGTCAAAATAACAGCTTCTCGGTGGCTAGACCAACTTGTTAGGAGGTTGGGGGTTCCAAAAAGCTCCGTGGAAAGGCGAACAGGGCCAGGAGCGCCCCGAAATTAGTTGGAAATTTGTGAAGGGAAGTAAATTACGAAAATGATGGGATCTGTTTAGCTGGTTCTTCGCAAGGGAATCCGACCTGTTTCAGAGACTCGCCCCGCTGCCCGTTACTCTCTACCCTGGCAAACTCGGTGAGGACTTTGGGGTCCTGGGTATCGGTAAGCAAGCACCCTGTTTGCTGTCCACAGGGGAGAAACCTTTCCAGTGTGAGTTCGAGGGCTGTGACCGGCGCTTCGCCAACAGCAGCGACAGAAAGAAGCACATGCATGTCCACACCTCAGATAAGCCCTATCTCTGCAAGATGTGCGACAAGTCCTACACGCACCCGAGCTCCTTGCGGAAGCACATGAAGGTATCACCGCGGTAGCCGGGAGGGCTAGGCCGACCTCGAGCGCCAGCTCCCGGCAGGCCTGGGAGGGTCCCCAGGGGCCGAGGGACCACTCCTGGGATGCTCCCGGCTCGGGGACCCGGCCTCACAGCAGCTGCACTCACACCCAGTCCCCTCTGGTCCCCGCTCCCGGCTTTTGTCTTGCAGGTCCATGAGTCCTCCCCTCAGGGCTCCGAGTCCTCCCCGGCTGCCAGCTCTGGCTACGAGTCGTCCACGCCCCCAGGGTTGGTGTCCCCCAGCGCAGAGCCGCAAAGCAGCTCCAACCTGTCTCCGGCAGCGGCGGCGGCGGCGGCTGCAGCGGCGGCGGCGGCAGCCGCGGTGTCCGCCGTGCACCGAGGCGCTGGCTCTGGCAGCAGCGGCTCCGGAGGCGGCTCCGCCACAGGCAGCGGCGGGGGCGGCGGGGCGGGCGGCGGGGGAGGCGGCAGCTCTGGAGGGGGCAGCGGGACAGCCGGAGGCCACAGCGGCCTCTCTTCCAACTTCAATGAATGGTACGTGTGAGGGGCCAGGCCTTTCTCCCATTCCGTGTTGTCTCCTCCACCACAGCCCTCCCAAAACCCACCGAGGGCACTCTAGGATCGTGTTGTTAAAATCATGAATCTGATTTTTATGGTGATGAAAAAGATTTTACCAGCAGAAGGATTTTTAAAAGTTTGTTTTTTTTTTTAAATGAAAAACAATCTAGGCATGAAAAGCAAAATCTCTCTGTGTCTCTGAAGCTAAAAACATAAAATAAAAATTTTAAGAAAATAAACTCCAAAAATATAGAGCCAAACTTCCTAGCAACCCCCCCCCCCCCGCGCCAGTCCACTCTCCCAAACTGTACATAGCCATAGCGGATTCCTTCCTTTTCCACGGTGATTTTAATGGCTTATTGGTGGATAGAAGTTTGTCCATATGTAAACTCCGGATTGCGTTCCTTCCTGCCTTTCTCCCATCCCCTTCCCCAAGTGATGGGCTTTTCTTCTTTCCTTTTAGTTTACCCGGTTTCTTTATTAAGTAATGTGGGAAAAAATGGTTTATTTTGTATTGTGGTATTAAATATTGTGTTCCTTTTAATGAGGCAACTTGATTGTAAACTTCATGCAACTATAGACTGGAAAAAAAAAATAATGAGCCGTGCCAAAGTGTCCCTTCTGTTTCTTGAACATACCAACTCATAGCACACATCACCACCACCACCAACGCTTGTGAATGTATTTTTCTGTTAGCTGGGTTTACATGTGATGTTTCAGTGCTTTTTGCGAGTTCCGATTTGTTAGTTGTTGTATGAAAGACTGGGGGGGTGGGGCGGGAGTAATCGTTGTGCCCTTAGCTTTTTCCGTAATAACACCCTTCTGTAAATATCCGTTGCCATATTTATCCATTTGTAATTAAATTATGGTATTAACTTGCTACAGAGGAAACAATATTTATAAAGAATGTTTCTTAACTATAAATATGTACAATTGTGGGCATAAACTGTTTCAGATTTTTTTATTTGAAGGTTTAAGTGGTTTGATCATTTCTTGTGATGTTTGAGAGTAATGCATACAGAAATATAATAAAATGTGTTGAAAATGCATGAATATACTTTTATTTTTCTTACCCAAGTTATTGAAGAAGAGAATGGAAAGATAGAGTGTATGGGTTGGGAGTGTGTGTGTGTGGGGGGGGGGAGTGTCACCTTGCACTTCTTGGAGAAATGGTCTATTTGTGCATAGAGAATGGGCCAAACTGCCCCTTTGGCAGAAAGTCTCAAAATTATTTTCTACATCCCTTTGTTTGGTAGCTGAGAATGAATTAAATTTTTTGGAAAGCCCCTGTAAGAATGGTGGCAGGAACCTTCAGAGTGTCTAATGGCTCCATTATCTAAGGGAATGCCTTTCTTTCAGCTATTTGGGCTGGCTTTAAAAGCACTAAACATTTCCTTATTCTTTGTTTTCCTTCCCTCCCCTGCCCCCTTCCTCTCTCCCTCCCTCTGAAAAGCTGAGGTACAGTTATTTTTAATTGCACATTTAAAACTGAGCTGACTACTTTGTTTTTGAACTTGGCCCAGTGATTATGGTTTAAAGGGGCTCGTTCCTACCACGAGGAGGTTTTTTTTTTTCTTGATATTTTAAGTAGAGCTGGCTCAATAAATCCTGTTTATCTTAAGCAGCCTTGCAACAATAATTGTGGTGTCCCAGAGAAAGTAATAAATAGAATATGTTAAAGAAAATTTTCTGTCATAGATAGGCAAGCATCTACTCTTCCCTCTTAAAGGAAAGTGCAGCTTTGGAAGAATGCACTGAAATAAAATAGAAGAAAATATAAAGGCCAATATTGCCAGGTGAAGTAAGCGAATGTGAGCCAGTGTTTTCTGGAACTTCTACCACCATGCGCCTTGCTCTCAAAGGGGTTGGTGTGAGTGTTCACACAAGGTGCTGTAAAGAAAGTAAATAATTTTAGTAATGAAAGGGTAGGGATGGGGAAATTATTTTTCAATTCCTGGACCATCAAGACCTCTCCCTCCTACTGGGTGTTCCTGTACCTCTGAGAGGCCCTAAGCAAAGGGGAACTGCTCCCTCCCTCGGGAGGGGGAAGAGGGGGCTGAGGCTGAGGTCCCAACAGCTCCCTGGGCTGACTGAGTCTCTGCAAATGGGGCTATTTTCTCCTTGCTCTGGGCTGAGCCACAGGGTCAGGCTTCACAGCCCTGAGGGGTATTTGGGAAGAGGACAAATCTGGCCTCCCATAGGCCACGCTACCTGTTAAGTGGTCAGCTCCATCCACCCAGAAGTTGTGTGTGTGTGTGTGTGTGTGCGCGCGCGCACACACACACGCGCACCCGCGCATGCACGCGCTTGTGATACTCAAAGAGTGACAAGTTCCAGGCTCGCCTTCCCCTGCGGCCCTCGAGCTGCCTAGCGCCAACTTCTGAAGCAATCAACTCTCCATTAAAATCAAATTTATAACCCCTAATAATATTAAGCAAAATTATTTAAAATAATTGGCATATGTTACTGAGCCTTGTGAGAGTTCATTGAACAATTATAAGCTGTGAGGAAAATCGCTTAGGGTTTTGCCGAGCCCTCACCCGTGGGGGGTGGGGGTGGGTAGGCAAAGGAGTCAGATGAAATATTCATATCATGGACAAGAAGGAAATGGTTCTATTTCAAAGGTTTCCAACCTTCTCGTGGTGGGAGGAATATTAGTTTTGAGGAAGCCCAAATCTTAAAAAAAAAAAAAAAAAAAAAGGGGGCGGGGGGAGACTCAAGGGGCAACTTTAATGTCTCCTTAAGGCCTTGAGGGATTCTTGTTTTCGGGAAGCTTGGAGCCAAATGAATGATCTCACGGGGCCAAAGGTAGTGTGCAATTGCTTCCCAACTCTGTGGTAGAGCTCTCAAAGTTTAGGGCTGTTGCTCCTTTTCAGCAGGAAAATACAAAGTGTAGGGGCTGGGCTAGGAAGAACATCGCCGGGAAGTGCCTTCCTCGCCCACCCTAGAACGGAAGGAGGCCCTGGGAAATGGCTCCTAGTCCCTCGTGCTCTCGCCCCTAGGCTTTACCCAAAGGAGTCATCCACCCGAAGGCTTGGTGCAATTTCCCTGCCTGATCTTTCTCTTAGCCCTTCACATCTCCGGAGCCAAGCGAGAAAAGGACGTAGCACCTTTGTGAAGAGTGCTGGAAGACGCCAGAAACGCTCCGCTGAAAGGGTAAAGCAGTCTGGCACCTGGGCCCGAGGGCCTGGCTGTGATGCGGCTGGGATGGGGGTGAGTGGAGGTGCGCCAGCCCTCCCGCCCTCCCCCTCGCACCAACTCTAAACGGAACTGAATGCTAACCTGAGCTTGCCTTGACTTCAGGGTCTCATAGCAGCCGAAGCTGGTCCTGGCCTCCCTCTAGACCCTAGAGTTGCACGGTGGATCTCTGCCGCGTCCGGAGGGCTGGTCTCTGCCTGCCTGCCTGCCTGCCTGCCATGGCCGTCAACTTGAACTTCAATGAGCCGAAGCCCGCTTCCTTCACGCTCAACTCCCTCCACCACCGAATAAGTCCCCTCTCACCACGAGACTCGCTTTATCCAGAGGCAGCTGGAGCTCCCTCGGGAGGCCCATCATTATTATTATTAATTATCGTGATCCTCGCTGCATTATTAATGGCCACAAGGATAACGGGCTTGGGTATCAGTTTCTCCCAGTTCAATGATGTCCTCCGAAGTCCCCGGCGGGGAGGAGGTTATCCCAGCCCAGAGGCTGCTGTGAGCTTCGCTAGCAGCCTGGGCTCGTGGAGGAGGCGTCCTGAGTCCGAACACCGCGGTACTCCAGAACCCGCACACCATCCCTAGCGTTCCTGGGCCCCTTTCCTGTCTCCACTGTCGGCACCTTCGCTCTTCCTCCACCTCAACCCCGACCCCCTTTGTCTCTTTTTCAGACGGATGTTTTTCAGTCTCAAGTGGATTTTTTTTTTTTTCTTCTTCTTCCGCACAAAACCCTGAGATCAAGGGCAGATCACAGGCTGGACCGGGGGCTCGGGTTTCTCCGGGCTCTGTGCTATTCGCCAGCATCGCTGTGTTCGGCTGGGAAGGCCTAGACGGGTTGGTAGGACTGGGGGAGTGTGCCCCAGTATGTTCTGGTGAGTTCATTGGTAGCACAGGAGCCTAGAGACACGCAGAGATTTACCAAGTATGCGAGACTCATTCTTCTCCCTCCCCAAATCATGCCACAGGAATAATTCAAAGGCAGCAGGTTAAGAAATAAAAGGCCTCAGAATAACACTTCATCAAGAATTGGTTTAACTTTGGACAGGCTTTTAATTAAAAAAAAAATGTCGAAATAGGCACGTGTATAGAAAGTTCCTCTCAGGATCCAAAGTAGGGGTTCAATAAATATTTGTGGGTTGATTATAGTCTGGTGCCTCAGAAGCTTGCAGGTCTGAGTCCTAGTGCTACCCCAGCAGCCAGGACAAAATGAAGTTTCTGTTTTTTAACCGACAGCAGCTTAAAACCAAGATGGTAGAAATGTCTTTTCTCCTCCGCCTCTCTCTCCACAGCCTCCAGCCCCAACTGATTGTTGCTGTTCCTCCCCACCCCCGTGGAATAATCTAGATCTTTCCAGACTAGATAGAGTAGTAGTCAAGAAAACCTCAAGCCCATCCCGCTGGGTCCCTGATGCAGTAAAGGCAGCCTCAATGATAAGAGTAGCTTGTAACAAATGAGGCCCCACCTGTAAAGCTGACTAGGATAGCCCAAGTGTCTGAGTTCAGGGTCAAGGCTGAGGGTGACTAGGGACAGAAAGGCCCTAGCCCCTGAATGGCCACTGCGGAAACTCCTGGTAGGGGAAGTCTGGGCCAGGGCACACTCTTCAGGGACCCTGCTGCCCCTCCCCTACAAGGGGCAAGATGATGACTTTGGGGAGGGAGGCCGCTGTGCTGCCCATCCCCCTCCACGTTTTCCTTTTGTTTTCAGGGCAGGGCAGCTTTTGAAGAGGTACCTCTCGGCCTCCCCTCCTGCTTTCTGTTCGGGTCCAGCCCCACCTGGCTTGGCCCAGCCGTCGAGCAGTGTTCGCGGGAGTCCCTTTAAAACCCACTGAGCAGCGCACCCACACAGACACGCCATTCGTACTCCTGTGCCAAACACACACCATCCACTCACATATGCTCACCTCCTGTGGCTTCCGAGAATCTCCCACCACCAGCTCACTCACGGGTGGGAAGAACCCGAGGCGGCAGAGATGTGGGTGGGTGGTACAGGACCAGCAATGGGTATTAACATCTCCCTCACCCCTTTCTACCCTCCTTGGAGGGGGCCAGGCCTTCTAGGCACTCACCTAACTCAGCTTTCCA